AAAGCTCAAACAACGATAACACAACCCACTCAAAAAGACTGTTGCTGTTACAAGAGGGAAAGAACTTTAAAAAACTATAATAAAAACAAAAGAAAATTAAAACGTAAAAGGAGATGAAAGAACACGAAAAGGAAACACTAAAACAACTAAGAATAACCGAAATACTGAAATAAAAAAGACAAAAAGGAAACACAAATTTTTATTAAAGAATAACCAGGGTCTCAATTAAAATTCTAAGAACCTAAAACCCAAATTAATACGGAATATAGCTATCGATGGCTAACAATTAAAAAGGAAAGAGCTTAAACAGCCTTATTAATTTCCTATTTGACTCAAAATTAATTGAGAAAGATGAATTGCCCAAGAATAAATTAACCTATAATGGAGACTAAACTAACGTTAGTTGAGTAAATAAAAACAAGGAAAAACTTAATGAGCCTCCTAAATCCCATTTTTGAATCAAAATTAAATTCGATAGAAGAGGGAGGGATTAACGCAAATCAACATTTAACATTCACTAAAATTACGGAAAACAATCAATGCGGGAATGAACACCACTGAATCGCCGACAATCAAGCTCGGAAGGAGTTTGAGTTACCGGATCACCGGAGAGAAAGAATCTGTGGAAGATCCCACATATTTCTGCCATGAACAGCGTTGAAGAGGAAACAAATTCCACCAAATTGCAACGTAACTAGATGATCTCAAGGGCTCCAAAGGAAGCCTATAGCGATGACCCGCATCGAGGGATCGAGAATAAATCTCAAATAAAAATGGCTGATCGCTGGAGGAGTCGTCACAAAGAAACGGCAGCCACTACCGGATTGAATCCAACTGAACTCACAAAAAGAAAGTTATGTAATGGACAGGGGATCCATCTGTTTTAAGGGACTCACATTTGAGCGTTGTCGCACCAATCCGGCCAGGATGTTAATTGATCTCTCAATGCAATTGAAGCAAACGAAAGACATGGTAAGGGGTTTCGATCAGAACGGATTAACCTTGACGGCGGCTTTGACAGCGTCGCCGACTTCACCACGATGAAGTCGTGACCGAGGGGGTGGCTTCTACCTTGCTCTCTCCTCGTACTACATGCTATCAGGCCGCCTTTCCGCCGACGAACCCGATTCCGACGGCAATTCCTCTGTTTTCATCGACTGCAACAACGCCGGAGCCGCGTTCGTTCACGCCGTCGCCGATATCCTCGAGCCGGTCTACACCCCGCCGGCTTTCAATTGGTTGACGTTTTGTGGGGAACGATGAGGGTTCGTGGGGAACCCTTTCAATTGGTTCACGCGTTCTTTTTAATTTGTTGATAAAACCGTTACACTTGCACGTTTACTACTCAAAATAATTTTATTGCTTACTGATTACTAACTTAAAGTCCACATTTCATAGTTGGTCAATGGTCGTTAAACTCGGTTAAATTCGTGTTAGGTGACAGTGAACTATGATCTTTAACCATTAAGTGACATGTATCTTCCCACCACCACCATCTCTCCATGAAGAAGAAAAAAAACAGAGCATATGACAAAGATGGAAACTTTGACTTGGAATTAGGAATTTATCTTGTTGAGATCCAGGAACTCTTCTTCAGTTCAGTGACATCGAAAACAGAATACTCATTTCTTTGTATACCATCCTAATTCATTTCCTTCTAATAATTTCAGGCAATAAGTTTCCACCAGCAACAGTCATTGTTATTATTATTTTTTTATCTCAACCATATTCTTCTTGTTAGCTAGCTTTATCTTGGAAATGCATATATCAAACAGAATGTAAAAATAAGCCGAAAATCATATGGCACCAGGCCACCAACCAATACATACACAGTTCTATCTATACGTCCAACGTTCAGCAAATTCATGACCTAACACCCAAACAAAGTTTCTGGAAAGAAAAATGAAGAGAAATGGATAAATACTAAGGTTGTCAAGTGTCAACGGAGCGGATCAGGTCAGTAACCTTATTTTGAGTAATTATGAGTAACTCGTACATATCAGAATGACATTGACATTCATCTCTCTCCTAGAAAACATTTTATCTTTTCCCCTTTAATCTTTAACGAACGATTTCTCTCTCGTTTTAAGTCGAAACTTAAATTTTTTTACACAGATAAATCAGATTAAATGTGCTCTTTAAAATGATATTCACTTTGATATATTTTTAGTACAGAAAAAATTGAGTCACTTTTTACCAGTCATTACCATATGGTATGCTCCTATTTAATACCATATGATAAGAAAGCGTATCATGATGGTATGAACATACCAATATGGTAAGAAGGTTAAATACATGATAGTAGGAGTATACCAACTGTCATTTACGACTTTCATCATTGTTTATTACAAGTTACCACCCACGTACCATAGTGGTAAATATGGTAATTTTGTTCCGGTATTTTTTTCACCCAGAAATTTGTAGATCCAATAGATCATGATGAACTTGTTCCTTCTGATCAAGTGTTTTCAAAAATGACTTAAAAACGAAAAAATTACCATATGATATGTAGTTGGTAACGGGTGGTATGAAAAAAAATTTCTCGAAATATATCGAAAATTGATCTCAATGTGTAGAGCACAACGAACTTGTTCCATCAGTGCAAAAAAAAAATGAAATCCGAGTTAGAACGAAAAAGATAAGAGCCGATTAAGAAAACTAGAGAACATAAAATATCTTTAATTGACAATGTTTAGATCTGGATTTTCTCAACCTATTTAAATCTAAAATTCCAGATTTAGTTACTGATCATACCCTAAGCCGTTATCAATTCGTCGGTTTGATCCCGATCTTATTGGGAAAGTGAGCGCCACACACTCATGTAAAGGAACTGCGCGAATTCGTCAAAAGTCAACACCCACCTTAACCCGATCAAAATCCGGTAAACCCGGAAAGTTGGGCCGCAGCAACGGATCTTGGGTTTTTAATTTTTGCTTGGGGAAGGAAGTTCTGCTCAGGAGGAGCCCAGCGACAAAGGCAGTGGGCCTGCAAAGGCCCAATAGAATACTGGGCACACTCTTTCTTTGTCACCTTTGATGGGGCAACGCAGCAAGGTCGCCGTGGTTCGACGGGACTCGCTTCTTCAATGCCGACGCCGTAATCTTTCTTCCCTTATCATTGGAGGTGATGCGAAACTTACCATTGATAAATGTGTTGCTCGGGTAATTAATGGCAGTCGCATTGGGAGAGTATCCTGGAAGAAATACGTCAACTTGTTGATAAATTGGGGATTGTACTTTGTGATTATTTGCACAGAGAAGCTCATTTTGTGGCTCGAGTTTCTCTGACTTTGTCACCTCGCCTGTTAATGGGGTTTGACTTCGTTTCTTGGTTTCGTAGTTGGTAGGTGCCTTACGATGGTTCCTTGTATCTTGGTTTTGATTTTCGCCTCGAGTGTTGAGGAATCTTATTACAAAACAAATAAGGCAAAGAGATATCCATTCAAACAAGCGACACTCACAAGAATTAAAACCCTACATTTATGTTATTATTTATGATTGATTATTATCATTTATATTAATTTTCATAGGGTGTTATATTGTTATTACTTATTACATATGCTAAATGAGGTTTGATATGAACCTTGCTAAATCGACTCTTTCAGCCGACAAACCGGATGAAAATCTAACAATATATACCAACTAGGTAAATAGCCCACCCAAAGTGGGTAGGGTTTGGCACACGAATGTCGTGTGTTCGAGTCACCGCTCTGTCGTGTGGGATGGGTGTTCCCTCTCTGCGGTACCTTGACAGCGTGAAAAAAAAGTAACCAATCCTATAATTTGGTTGGAGTACTGCACCATCGAAAGTTCTAACCGTGGAGGGTGTTTTACATTATAAAAAAAAAAAAATAATCTAACAATAAAGAATTAACTAATTACTCCTTTCATCACGGTCCAATTACACTATGATCAAACTTTAAGACATGACCTAAAGGAAGAAATATGATACATTTCACGTCCCCGTCATCTTAGCCGGAAAAAAGATTTGCTCAAATCACCTTCGCCATTAACCCCTACTTTGAGGATCCTTCCTGCCATTAACATAACAGGCAACTCTCTCAAGTCTCATCCTTTACCAATTCCCTCTCTCTCCCCTTTTCGGTAAGAGAAACAATCAAACAAAAAGCTGATCTTTATTTAGCTTAGCGCCTATAATTTCCGTCAAAAAAATTTAGTTAAATAAAGAGGTCAAAGATCTGCTGCGACCACCAAAAAAAGCATCTCTTCCGACCTCCTCGTGCAATTTCTGATTCTCTAGCTATGCACTCTGCTGCTGCTGCTGCTGCTAATATTAATCAACATCCCCACTAATCTGCACGTCTCCACCATCCACGTGATTCCAAAGTTACGCAGCAGGCAGCCATTAATTAAAATTAGCAAAAGAAAACGGTCGATCTTTGCAATTTATTACTTAGTTTAATCAACCCACCTTTCAGTTTCACTACTTAATAATAAACTACTGCTGGTCTTACGGTTAGTGAAAAGGGAGTGAACTGTGCTCTACTTGGCTGGGCTGTAGACTGTAGTAGCAGTCAACACGAATATTAAGGCCGCAGTTACAAAACAAACGCTAAACTAAAACGTTGGATATAATACGAAAACAAAAGCGACGTTTCTCATTGTCATTGATTGCTAAACCTGCCGCCCGCCAAGAAGATAGTAGAGATAACCCACTTCTTACTTCCTACCACCAAAGCATCATTAACCCACGTGTCAATTTGTTCATCTCAGCTGGAATTTGCATCTTTCACCACCCCACTCTCCCTTCCTAACTCTTCAACAACAAGTCAACCAGCAATCAGTCGTGAAGAAAGTGACCCTAGCTCCCACTTCTTGGAAACTCAAGAGAGTCAAAAGATACAATTCCACACACTTCCTCCTCCTCCCATTTGCTGCTGGTGCGTAAACAGGTTGTTGAACAGGATGAGAGCAACAGAGAGTGACCGGAAAACACAAAAACCATGTTTTTGCAATCCAGCCATCTCTCATGGCAGACAAATAAATGTCTTCAATTTAATGCGGAAATGGGCTTTGCCACCTCTACCAGAACGTACGCAGCCCAGTACTGGTCCAGCAGTAGCTGAGAATCTCAAAACATCGCTCTTCCTTGCTGCCACCACTCTCACAGTACACACGCAAAATGAAAATCTCACCTACACGACTTCAATACCCACATCCTCCACCTGAGACAAACTATTAATGCACAGCACAATCAATCAACAGTAATGAAAGCTTCAGAAGTAACTGTAATGCAACCATAGAAAATGACGAAGACAGAAAGAACCCAGTTTAACACTATGATCAAACAGTTCCATTTCAGTAGACACATGAGAGAAAATGAAATGGGTCTTTAAGCATTTCTCTTCCAATACCCTCCACCAGAGTTCACAGCAACCATTGCTCTGGGGAGGAAGACTTTACAAGACTGAATGGAACAAAACCATTTGGGACGGCTTTTACAGCACCAGCAAAACCCTCAAGGATTCATTCCTGGACATTGAAACACAGAAGACAAGAGTGAAGACAGCCTTGCACATCTTCACCATCTCAACCAGACAAAAACTAAACAACAGTGATAAAACAAAACTCACTCCGCCAAAACCTTTCTCAGAAAAGAACACCACAATGCTTGTCAAGCGGTGTTCTTGAGATCTCCTCACTCTCTGCCTATTACAGAACCCATCACTCTTTTTTGTCTTTCAACGAATACATTAATAATAATAATGACTTGCGATACGAAATTAAACTGAACATGGAAAACTCTCCTAGCTGCAAAACTTATGGGCATGCAATATTGAGGGGTTGTTGTTGTTGCTGCTGTTGATGATCATCCAAGTAGGCAAACTCCTCACTGCTGAACTCAAAATCATAATCAGGAAGCTCAGTTGGTAGCATTTCTCCATCAAACCCCAGGAAGTCGAGGTCATCCCCAATGCCACAGTAATCATCGTACATCCTGCCAAACTCGTCGATGAGGTTGGTGAAATCAACACCCAAGTCGAGATCTTGATCAACCACGGGACAAGTAGACACCAATGCCTCGTCAATAAAGCTCAAATCAGGTATCTCAAGGTCTTCAACAGTAAGAGCAGTATCCTGCAAACCTTCCTCCTCCATGAAGTCAAAGCACTCTCCCTTGTCAAAATCGCAGTTCAACATTGACACCACGCAGTTGTCCACCTCGAGGACAGATGCTGGAGACGTATGGGATACAAGGCTGTGAGAATCAGTATCACTGGTAGTCGAGCCACAAGGTGGATGACTCTTGCTGTTGGAGGGAGTGACATCATCAGCAGCAGTAGCAACTGCACAGGAAGACTGAGGCAGTATGTTGTTGAGACTTTTCTGTTGATCTTCCGAAGGAAAGGAAGCATCATATTCGCGCTTCTTGTCCTCGTAAGCCTGAGCAGCCTCTTCAAGAGAGGCAAAAGTACCGAGCCACACCCTGGATTTGGTGTGGGGGTTTCGAATCTCAGCAGCCCATTTGCCCCATTTCCTCTGCCTAACACCCACCGGCTTCTTGGGTCCTTTTGAGAACGACCGAGCGGTGGCCAAAACCCTTCTCTTGATGGGGTTTTTGGACCTGGTGTCGTTGTTGCTGCTGTCTTGAGAGGAGGATTCCTGCAGTTGCTGCTCAACAGTGCTCTGTGAACGGGATAAGGCAGGGACACAAATCTCACGGACAAAACATTTGGACTTTTTCTTCAAAGCTGGAACAGGGCACTCCGATTCATCATCACTAGAATCGGTATCAGTAGCATAAGGATCTTGATATATGACTCGGACTTTACGAACCCTTGACTCCATAGAGTCCTGAGAAGGGGAGGAGTTGGTAAGAACTCCCTGCAAAGTCTCCGGTGAGACCATCAGCTGTTGTTCTACAGGCCCCGGCATGGTAAATCTCAGAACCCACTCACCAAAACCCCTCAATAGACACCCAGAAAGGTTTTCTTGATCTCACCAAAACGAAATCAGAGCAGTATAATCTCAGTTGGATTAGAAGCAGTCTATAGAAATCAGAGAGAAGAAAGAGAAAGAAGGGTTTAAGGCTCAGGGGAGAAGAACCAGAGGGATAATCAAGTGAGACCCCCTCTCAAGAACAAGAATAAGTGAGAAAATCGATTTATGTGAAAACCCCCAAAGCACTCCACAATACCAGAAGAAGTCCTGCAAAAAAACAAAGAAAAAAGTCCGCCGGTCAGGCATTTCATCTAACAAACTTTGTCTTTCCCACGAAACCCACTACAGATTTCCACAAACAGAACAGTACATACTATGAGACGGAGAGAAAAGCATACCGTTTTGGCCTCAAACGCATCGAATCAAACGAGGACCTCAGCACCGTTCTCTGCTGGGAACAGCAGAGTCGCATAAAGCAGGGGAAGCAGCAGCGTCTGCGAGCGGCAACGGCAGAATGGAGAGAGCTGACGGCGTCGGAGACAATCACTTTTGTAGAAGCAGCAATCAAAATACCAGAGAGCTTCAACGGAGCCCCAATCACAGCCAAATTAAATCCAGCCGACATAAATCCCACGACTCCTGAACAGTGGAGAGCTCTCTTCTTCCCCCTGTCTTCCTCCTCGTCTCCCTTCAAGAAGAGGAAAGACCCAGAAAAAAACCCAAAACGATAAGCCTAACAAGATAGATAGATGTGAAGCGCAGAAGGCGAGAGCAGAGGAAGAAAGAGAGTAAGCAGAGAGGCCAGAAGGGGCGTTACTAAACCCCCAAAAACCCTATTTATTAAAAAAAAAAACAGAGGATTGCAAATCTATGGCCGAGATTTTTTCTCCCTCCTTCACTCTCTCCTCTCCCCTCTTCTTCCTTCACCCAGACAAAACCCGATCTGTAAAACCAAAGCAAAGCAGGCAAAAGGATGGGGAGAGGGAGAGAGAGAAATGGCCGGTCTTTGTTAATATAATTTTCACTGAAACAGTGAAATGTCCACTATGAACTTTCGCCTTTCCCCAAAACCCCACACCACCCACTGACCCAGAAAACGCAAATCTCTATAGAAACATCATAGAAATTATCAAATTGGAAAAGAAAACAAACGAGCAAACAACAAACACTCCCTACAATAAACAATTCATCATCATCAATATAATTTAAAAACACAAATTTTCTCGAGACAAAGAAACGATTTTTCCCGAGAAAGGAAAAATCAAAAGAGCAGACGTTTTCTCACTGTGAAATGGGTACCTCTTTTTCTTCTTCCTCCTCCTGTCGCCGTCTCTCTCTGCTGCTGCTGTGTTTTCTTTCTCACTCCCTCTGTTCCTCTCTCTCTCTCTCTCTCTCGCTCTGTGTCAGTCGCTCTTTATTTATTCCAGCGCTCTACAAGGCCATTCACCTGCCGCCGAGCGTTTCGGTCAAAATTTTCTGAGTTAAAAAGAGGAAGACAGAAAGAAAAAGGAAGATAGAGAGGCGGTGCGCCCAAAAAGCATTTACTGGTGGAAAATTATTAATTACTTTTTACCTAATTTTTTCACATAAATGAGTGAATAATCCGTCTGTTATTTCTTTTTTCCCCCTGGAGAATTCCCTGTCTAGCTGTGTAACTGATCCGACGATTTCCACTCACCACATCCAACATTAACTCGCTTATTAAATTAAGTAAGAAAATTTAGAAAAATTTGATGATAATGACGATTATGGGTGAAATGGAAACATATATCGTCTAAAAATAACAATTTATTTTTTGGAAATCAAATCTTTACTATAAATTGGATTCCATAAATAAAAATATTTTTCTATAAATAAATTAGGAGGTTTCACTGATGTAAGAGAAATAAAAGGAAAGAGAGAAACTGGGGATGAGCTTGCAAGGGGTTTCACATCCATGGTCATGCATGAACCGCCATTGGGACATGTCATGGGCCCACTAAGTCATGCATAATGGGCCGGGCCGGCGGCTCGCTATTCCCATTGCTTGCTAACAAACGTTTGTGGCCCACCACCCACCAGCCCAGTTCACGCCCACCTAGAAAACTAGCTCGTCGATCGTACGTAGGGCTGGCAACAAAACCCGAACCCACGGCTACCCATCCGACCCAACCCGCGTTGACGGGTTTTGGGCCGGGTTCGGGTTTAAACCCGCTACACTATTCACCGGGTCGGGTTGGGTTTGGGTTTAGGTAAACCCGCCCCATGGGTACCCGCCCACATACATATAATTACTTTCCCGATATATTTAATATTCTAAATAATATATCTTCCTTAAATAACTAATATTCTATATGTTTGTGGATACATGTATAATTTGTTCTTTCTAATTGTTTAGAATGAAGTTTATTATGAAGTGGAGAGTGAAGAAACTTAGTTGACGAGGAAGAAGTTTTCAATTAATCTTATTGTTTATATATGTTTATCTTTAATTTTGAACGATTTGTATTGATCATTTGCGGTTTGCTTGTATGCTCTGGATTGGTTTTTTTGTATGATTAATTTGTATGAGAAAATTGATGTTAAAACTTTTATTTTGAAAGAAACTTGTTATTGTAAATTTTTACCACAAAAACCCACGGGTACCCATGAACCCGCGGATACCCAGCGGGTTGGGTTGGGTTTGAGTTTTTCAAACCCAACGGGTTTTACCCCGGTTTTTTTGACGAATAAACCCATGGGTTTGGGTTTGGGTTTGACAAAACCCGCCCCAACCCGACCCATTGCCATCCCTAAATTCGTAAGTAGCTTTGAGATGGTGAGTGTTAGGGGTGGCTATACGGTCCGGTCCGGTTAAATTGGACCAAATTGATCCGGTACCAGTGCGGTCTTTTCGGGAATATAAGGACCAAAGATTGAATTGGATACGCTCCGGTCTTGATCCGGTCCGGTCTTGACCCGGTCCGGTCCCAATTTGATTTTGATTTTAGATTGAGCTTGTGGGGATTTGAGTGTTGAGTTCTCTTATCCGGTCTTTATCTGAGTTTTTTTTACCTCAAATCTAAACTCGAATATGAGATTGGATTGTTGCTATCTGGTCTCGGTCCGGGTTATACGGTCCGATTTCAGATAAAACCAAAAAGTCCTGTACCAAATTGCCAGCCCTAGTGAGTGTGGGATGCGAGTAGGATAAACAGAGTGAGGAAGCGCGTGGGTGTGATGGGCTATGGGGGGGGGAAGGTTTTTAGTTGGCAGACCATTTTTATGACGTTGCGCCGCGAGTAGGTTGGTGTCTCTTTTCATCTGGCCTCTCTTTTGACTTTTTTTTCATTTTTATTTTCTTCGCAGGCAGTGTTATTTGGGTCTGGTTATTGGGTATATTTACGGTTTGTTGCCACTGATTTGTCTTCTTCCCGAATTAACCTTCTCGTGACGTGGGTCCGTTTTCCCCTGCCACCCCGAATCAAGAAAAAAGGGGTAATTAGGAAAAAGGGAATAAATAGAAATTTCCTCTTTTTTCTGAGATGCGTTCGCTAGAAAAAGAAAGAAAAGGGAGATTTTCGATTCGCCGAAGCGCAAATCGCGGCCAGTACAGAATTTTCAATCAGTTTTCCAATTTTGTTTCCCGCGAGACTTTCTCCCCAAGTTTATTTTCACTTGTTTAGGAAACAAATATTTTTTAGATCCTTGAATTTAGAACACGTTCTTATTCAAGTCCAAAATAAACTTCGATTTTCCTAAATAAAACCCTTAATTGTGGATAGAAACGTCAATGTCAGCGTGTATAGTTACAAGGTATGCTACTTTCCACCTGATTTATTTTGAGCGGGGTTGAATACGGATTTCTTTTTTTGTCCTCTCCCTAATTGATATAATACAAAGTGGAGGAGTTAGGAATATGAACGAGAACGAGAACGAGAGTAATTGATTTGAACCATGGTTACTCGAGAGAGAGGCTAACGCATTATAGACTACTTTATTTTTTTAATTTGTTATGAATTTTTACATGTAATTTTAACTATATTTCAAAATTGAGTTAGATAGCATCTCTTACCTTCAACTTATCTCCTCCATTGATAATACATACATTTTTGTTTTAAAATATGCAAAGTCACATCTTAAATTCCATTCAAAATCAAGTTGGATTGGATGATCTTTGGACAATCATACAATAACCAAAAGTTTACCAAAGCATCGAAAATGGGAATACAGTGGAATCACAGAGACAAGCAATGTCTCCTACTATCCAAATGATCAGCATATATGTTACCTTCTCTATAGATACGAGAGTGAGAGACTTTCATTTTCAAGACTCTCTAATAGCTCCCTGGATGAAAAAATAAAGTCAGTACGTTGATGATCACTCTTGTACGAACTCTAAAAAAGTTGTAAAACACATCGAGAATCAAACTGAAATCGAACTCGCATATATCCAGCAGGCCATGTCAACTGAAGGCCATCTACAACACCCAAAATATGTCGATGTGATGGAGCATATTCTCATATTATAGATACTGAATCTCCAATAATTTTACTTCAGTCACCATTTGCTAAATGCAACAATTGGCATCCATCTTCTCATTCATATGCACCATCGCCTTGTTGGCTGACACGCTAAAACACAACATCAAACTGCGACTAAGTGTAATCGCAGAATAGTGGCAAGTTCAATTTATCAACTCGGGGTCTAAATCTACTGCCTACTCCGTGACTACCTGTTATTTAGCCAGACTAAGTGTAGTGAGAGTGATTGCAAACAAAAGCAGTAAGAAAGCAGGAAATTGTCGAAGTTCTTAAGCAAGGGAAGAGTCACTCGAGAATGAATCCCCCTAGCTCCTTAGTTAGGTCAAAGTTGTAATTTCCTTTGGTTGATTTACTGTTGATTAAACTGCGAAAGATCCGAAGTAGTTTGGAATCTCTTAAGCTGACCAAGCCCTCTCAGACAGACTACCCTGCAGACGACTAGTCTTCACCGGGATAGAACGCTAAGGCAATTAACACATAACTCCACTACTGGAATTGGATTCTAGTACAAAGCAGTGAATCGACTAACTCTCGAATAATCGACTCACTACTACCGATTGAAGAAGCTCTAACAACCTAATCAGATTCTATTTATCTCATGTTGTAGCAGAAGTCAAGAAAAGTTGATCAGGCTTCAATTGACTTAATGAATCATATGCATCAATCGATTATAATCACATAGTATATCAATCCAATAGTCATTACAATCAATATCCCTAACACATGGAACTAGGATTTTTCATACCCAAGTGAGAGAGAGTTCTACTCCATAGAGAGAGAGAGAGTAAAACAAAATACAAAGCAGTCATACTCATAATGATGGGAAGAATCTGCTTTGGGATGATAATCTTCACTCCAAAGATGAAAACCAAGCTTGATTGATGAAACCCAGCTCCAAAATCACCTCTAGGATTTTTTCTTCGCACTTTCTCTCTCTATGACTATGTTTTTGCTCTGGAAATTCATCTCCCTCTTCAAAAACCCGAAATTGGTGTAAAACCCATAATTCCACTACCACACGGGCAGGCCACACGACCGTGTGGAATCCCCAGCTGCCTGTGTGAAGTCTCAAATTGCGGCGTTTGATTAAGTGACTCAATGTACGCTACACGGCCAAAACTGCACGGCCGTGTAAAAATATTGCCTGCCCGTGTGAACTCTCTGGAAATACCACACGACCAAAAGTGGCTCTTACACGGCCAGTGTGGCCTGCCCGCGTGAAGAAGTGCCACACGGCCAAGTCACACGGCCGTGTGGAAATCTGGCATGTCCGTGTGGTTTCCTCTACTTCTCGCCAAACATCCCAACTTCGTCCAATCGACTCCAAACTAGTGCCTAAACCTTCATTCACGTACTGGGAGCTGAAATATCACAAACAATAACAACCTAGCGTGAAATTGGTTTAAAACACCAGAAATAAGGCTCAAACAGTATAAGAATGGTGGACAAAAACATGTGTATATATCGAGTCATCATTGGCCAAGATTTTTTCACAATTATAAAAAAAAAGGAATAAAAAATGCTCCCCATTAAAATACAGAAGTTCTTATCACGAAATCGACGACAAAGATGTTGGTGCTAAGGAGAGAGAAAGGAAAGTAAGAAGAAACTTTGCTGTGACCTCTCTCTTCCTTTTCCCTCGTTTGTTACCGTTGTGTGATGGAATCCCAGTCGGGGGTGACCGTCCCTGACCCAAAACCACCAGATGGGCCGACGCCGACGACCCCAACCCAGCCCAGAAAAAAGGCAAAAACAATAACAAGCGAAGGCTTTTTCAGGCGAAGGGAGTATGAATTTCGCAGTAACCATGGAAGCTGCGGAATATTTTGATTTCGATTTGGAGACAACCGACCTGTAGGGGTGTTCAAATGGTTACCATGGTTATAACCATACCAAATAAGGTTAAATTCCATTAACCATGAAATACAATATCATAACCAAACCGTCCAAACTAATACAACAACCAAATTAACCAAACTAAAGTTTAATCGGTTTGGTTAATTGGTTAACCAGATTAACCAATATAAAATCACATTATCATTGAAGATGAAAATTTTCCGATTAATGCAACAATTCGCAATTTATATAATGAATAAAACATAACAACCAACACGTAGTTATAGTTGACCTTTAACAAAAATACATGCAACTAAGACAATTATCTTACGATTGGTATAGAAGTATTCACCTAACAAAAATTTATGACAATGGTATGGGTTAATGAATTGTTGTGTTTGTGTAAATTGACTTAGTCTCTTAGCAATTATCATAGGCTGAAAATGACCTTCCTTTCAAGTTTTCATCCATCATAATG